CAAAACCAGAAGTGTTGTGTGGATCCCCTTCTTTACCCAGCGCTGCCAAACATGCTGGTAGATTAAATCAGGTAAACACGAAGTGTCCCTTTTCTTAGACCTTTTTAAATATTCCAAAGTCCATATAAAGTAACTAAAAATAGCTTTACTTATGCTTTCAAGGAGAACCTTTTTTTTTATTGTGGAATGCCATAATTCAATTTTATTGGTTCATCAATGTGTATATGTTGTTCACAGGGAATGCTTATACATGAAGAAAAAAAGAAACAAAAAGGAAAAGTATTTTTGAGTCCCCAGTCAGGTTTGTGTATCTTCATTTCAATTCTGCATAAAAGCATGTATTTTTTAGCTTGCTTTCCCCATCGGTCCTTATGGGAACTCTTCCTGATTTGCTGAACACAGCAGCAGTCTGTACAGGTTGCTAGATAATTCTGAAGTGAAGCCACATTATTCTACTGGAAAAGTGTGCATTTCTTTCAGTTTTGTTTTGGAAGCAAAACTTAGGCATGTCAGTTCTGTGCCTTTTTTCTTTAACTCTGGTAGATTTATTTCGCAGAAGGATACGGTGGCTTTTTATCAATCTCTGTCCTCTCTCCTGTTTCGGCATACATGGGTTTCTGCGTTTCTTCAGTGATGACATGTGGAGCACTTTCTTGTGAGGCTTCCTCAGACTAATTGTCTAGAATTCCACATGATCAACTTAGGAGAGACTATCAAAGCACATCCTTGGTCTGCCAAAATGCAAGGAAGTTAAAATTACACTTACAAGTAGCAGTCAGATGAAAATATAAAGGCCTTTATGTACTCTCTCTGCATCAGAGATGTTTTGTGTTAGATATATAGTTGCACATGCAGCTGCCTTAACGGTAATTTCACACACTTATTAACAGATACAAGGAAGATTTTAAAAGCAACTGCTTTTTTTAATCACTTTGAGTTTCTAGTGAAACTCTGCAAACCTTTTAGCAGCTTGGGTTTTTTCAATAAAATATATAAATCTCTTCTGGGGCACCTGAAGGGGGATCTAAGTAGTCTTTACAAATTTTGGAAAACTAAACTGCGATTAAGTATCTCAAACCAAATTCTCAGTTTTGTTGGGAAGACACAGTATTTTCTGTTTTCACTGCAAAATGTTTCAAATCTAAGTTTGGGGATTTTAAACACAAAGTGATTTGTCATTAGGTGTTTAATTAGAAAAAAAAAATGCTAGTTTTAAATTTTGTATTTTAGTATTTCTTACTCTTCTCCAGCAGGTAATAATCTGAAGTTGATCTGTGTGTGCTTTCATTATAGTTTGACTTAACAGTAATTTTATCCTGTCTGATTGTTTAAGTTGTTTTATGTCTTTTTTTCTTTTTTTTAAAACCCTTAAAGTGTGATGCTTTCTTCCTCCCAATCTTAGGCAGCCTTTCCAGTAAATACATGACTCAGGGAAAAGCCTCACAGAAGAGGACCCAACAAGAATCATGAGGGATATTAAGCACTGTTAAATTGCAATACAGGCTCTTCATTCATTTAAAAAATTTTCTTCTGCTAAAGCATCTGGATTCACAGGACAGCAGCGCAGACAACCTTCGACTTAAGTTTAATGAAATATGGGTGTTTTACTTTAGATTGCTAGTACAAGCAACCGTGGATTTTAACATGGACCCCTGCTCTTAAATAGATTGTTTGAGCATTTTAATAGAAAGCCATGATGTTTTGTATTTGTTTACTAGGTAAATCATATAGAAAAGGGCAGGTACTAAAAACAGAATGTTTTCAAGGTTTTGTCGTTCCACCTGACCATTTTAAAATGCACTAAAATTGTGTGCAAGCCAAATACATTATATTTTCTTCAAAAATTGATTTTTTGAAGGAGCAAATGATATTTATTAATGTTGATTGTTTACTGAATCCTTGTGTAAAAGTGTTTGAAATGTTTGTAGACTGCTACGTTATTTTTTTTTTTCCTGTAGAGAACTGAAAATGTAGACATTAGTAAACATATGTAAAACAATCTCTGGACAAGCAGTGCCATTGAGATTTCTTGGGGGTTTTTTCTGTCCTGTGATTATATTGGAGTTCATTTGCTGCTGTGCTTGTATACAAGATGAAAGAAAAACTAAGACACAGGTCAGTCCTGTTTGATGCTGCTAAGAATCTTTTTCAAGGCCTTGGGGATACAGAAAAAAATGCTTTAAGTAATAGAGGTATTATATTTGGCAACTGGGGAAAACACATGTCCATTTTCATAAAATGTGAAGAGGATCCTTGTACCAGCCAAGAATTTAATTAGTAGTATAAACATGAGCTTTACTTGAAGTCCTTCCAGAGCTGGTAATGTACTGTCTTATCTTTTTCAGGAAAGAATTAGTTACATGGTAAAATTGAAACCACTGTTATTTATGACTTTGAAATAAATTTAAAAAAAAAAAAAAAAAAATCGGACTTAAGTTTTTGTATTTCTTCTTAGGTTGTATTTTTCAGTATTCCTGACTAAAGTGTAGAATTAACGATAACTTATTAGAATTATCTGGTTTTAGAAATGTCATGTTTAATTTTTTCCCTTACCTGTTTATTTTGTGATACTTTGTAGTTTAGCGGTGAAGTTTTCAGCTGTGAGTTTTCTAAACTCACATCTGAATGAAAACTCATTCTGCAGACCCACCAGTTTTCTCACTTTGAAGGTGCTGCTTCCTTATGCAGCTACAAATTCTATATAGTTACTAATCTCATAGCCCTAAAATAAACCCCCAAACTTGGGCTATATATGGCAAGCATTAAACCAGTAACTAATAAGTCCTTTGTTTGCTTAAAGAGTAGCTAAAGAGCACAGTCATAACTTACAGATTGATATGTGACACAGAATAAACACAGTTGAGGAGGCATACATATCTGCTGGCTTAATTTGTTGTAAAATTTAGTAAATGGATTGAAAATTAAAATTGAAGAAAATTAAGTTCTTCATAACAATTCTTGATCTCCAAGATTCTGCTTGCCTTATCGGAGTATATTCTCAAGGGAAGCAACTTTCCACATACAAAGAAAAACTCTGAAAGGACACACTGCATTAATAAAAAGTTTCTAGAAAAAATGGTATCAAAACTAATAGTAATAAAATAATAGTTTACAACTAAATTCATACTAATAAAATGTAATAATACATACTAATAAACTACAAGTCTAAAAGACCTCTTCTGAACCACCTGTATACTCAGTCCCTCTAATGATACAGAGGGACACTGAGTTGGTAGCACTGTTTATTTGTGCTGCTTTTTTAATTAAAAAAAAAAGTGCTATTGTCGTATTTCACAGGAATTTCACATGCTTTTGATGTCCCTGTTTCCAAAGTTGGAAATGTCTTGCGCTATGAGTAGTTAGTTATCAGTGCTGAAAAAAGGAGGAGGACAAAATTCTGTTTCAGGTATGCAGCACAGTTAACTGTCTGTCTTAAACAGGCAATTTAATCTCAGTTAGCCATGTAACTTCTAGATCAACACGCATCCATCTCCCCTAATCCAATTGTTCTGGTGAGATTTGTTTCATAGCTATATTTAAAACTGGTTTCTCATCCATTAAAAATTTTATTTTAAATGTATTTAATACACAGTGATTTCTTTTGTAAACCTTATCACATTTTTTATAAAAACTGCAGAAGCCGCATCAAAAATTACCTTCGCTAGTAACTTTTTAGGGCCTGAAATAGCTACTTAGAATGGGAGCTTGCTAGCAAAGAAAATATTTTTTTCCTCTATTAATAAAATTATCAAGAATGTTTCTTGTTATTCACTTGAACTATTTAGATTTTAATAACGACTTTTGCTTTTATCTTTTGGTAATTGTACCGAAGATGGAGAACACCTCAGAAAAAGGCTGTTGCCTCTAGCCCACGCTCAGTCTTTCACGCTGAGATTCATTAAGCAGACAGGTGACTAAATTAGAGTGATGACTGGAAGCATCCTAAGGAAGTACAAGAAGGTAACGCTCTTTATACCTGCATGGTAGGCTGAATGACGAAGAAGGTAGTAGTTGCACTCATTCACAAGCTTCCCCCCTCCAAGCGTACATGTTACTGACTTCAGCTTCACACTGATAGTGGATTTAAGCCCCCCTACCCCTAAGTGGGTGTGTTTTAGTTGAGGATGTGTGCCCAAGTCCTGCCAGTTGTGCGTGAAGGACACATTTGGTGTAGCTAAAGAAAATACAACTTTTCTTATAAGCTTGCTATCTTTATATTTGAGGTAGAAGTACCGTGCCTCATTAAAGAGTAGTGGAATAATTATGTATGTAAAAAAAGAAAAACATCTGCACATTCACTGTCAAGCTCTTTAATTAAAAACTGCTAAGCCCAGAATCGGGTACCCAAAGTAGATGTGGTGAGGAGATGCGGACATGTTGCTTGCGCTTGGACTTTGTCAATACAGGTAAATACAGGTTTAAAGTAGTATGTAGCGTATTTAAGGCTGCTGTCAGAGGACATGAAAAATGGGTACTTGTTTTCCTTCTGGCATAGCCACCATTCCATTTAAAGTAATGGGATTAGTCTTCCTGGGCCAAGGCTGTTGGGGTTTCTCGCAAGCACCCGGCAGAGGCCCCAGCATACCTCCCCGGGCTGCCACAGGCAGTTTGGGAACGGCAGTGCAGTTCTGCCTGCAGCTTCCATGTGTGCCTTCCCACGGCGACCGTGCGCCAGGCAGGCGTCAGGAGGAGCAGCCGGGCTCCGACCACCACGTGGCCCTCACCCAGCCCCTCGAGGGCTCAAACCCGGAGGGAAGGGGAGGGAGCTGGCGGGTGAGAAGGCATCCACCGTGCGTTATCCCTGACGGACGGTGCCGGCCACCATCTCCGGGTCCTGCGCGCTTCGCTGAGGGATTTGTCCGAAGGGGACCACTCTGCGCACGGGTTTTGCCTGCGGTGCCATCGCTTCCTTTTGAACGGCCTTACGCAAAGCCGTTTTAAACAGCTCGTCTGTGTGACCATCAATACACATTCACGGTCTTTGCCCGCATTTCTCGTAGATGGGGACTATGTATGTACCGCCTCCGTGTTACCATAGACAGCCGCCTCCCT